TCACTGCAATTGAAATGCATCTTTTTTTCCGTGAACAGTACACAAGATATTTGTTTATCTAAATTTCTCACTTTCGAGTCTCCCGGCCCGTTTGTTTGATATCTCGTCATCATTCACGGAGTCTATAAGGTGTACATTTAGCCTTCTTCGCCTCCATCATCGCCGCCACACTTCTCCATGTGCTCTCCGTCTTTGCTTATTTTCACATCTCCGTTCCGCCCGCCGCGCGCCTCTTGAGATCGGAAATGGCATTGGAAGATGGCAAAAGAAGAGAGTGAGGAATTATTAATATGCAGAGCATCGCAGTCGATGAAATGGCATTTCAGTGTGAATTCTGATTCCTCAGAAGAGGAAAAGAAATTCGCAGAAGATAATTAAATCTGCCATCTTCACCACTGAGTACGTAAACATCAAAAGATCCAATCATAAGCACATTTCACGCAACTGGTATTTATTGCTGAAATTCTCGTGCCTCGTCGTTGACAATATTGACATTTATTGATATGGTGTGAGGAAAGTGAGCTGTATTGCATATCTATGTTGCTGCTGACATTCTAAATTGGGACATTGAAATTTTTGATGGCTCATTTCATTTTGTAATTGATAAATAGATCATGAGATATGCGCCGTCTTTATACGGTGATATTTATTCCACGCACCAGAAATTGTTGGCTAACGTGGGAATTTCAGCCCAAAACTGCCATTAAATGGCCTCTCGTCGTATTTTAATGAAAAGACGCTTCGCGCATAAAAAAAACTTCACCCTCGATGTTTTGTCAGTTGCAAGACGAAGATATGATTTAAGATGATGTTATTGAGGCGTTTCCTCTTTCGCATTTTTGAATGAAACACATGTAATTGTCATGTTGAGCATCACTTCTCCTTCATAAATTTTGGTGTTGGAAAAAAACGGCCAAAAGAGAGAAACTACGAAAATAGAAAAATAAAGAACGCACCAGCTAATATTTCCACAAAAACCCCTTGAATGAACTTGAGCTGCATTCTTCAGCGTGAGATATCTCGAGTGAGGGAGTAAATTTCCTAGTCAGGAATGCTGTGCGATGACATGTGATACCCATTTAAAAAGTAGTGCTCAATTTAGGAAAAACCAATGGAGTTTCACCCTCTGATGACTCCGAATTGATGTATTGCCGAGCGTGATCAAGATCTCTTGGTGTGCACATAAAGGCCACAGAGAAGGGAAAAAGTGGAGAAAAAGGGAATAAAAAGTTTTCAGAGATTTATCGTCGATTGTTGAAATGAACTTTGGTGGTCTGATACTTCATCTCTGTACCAATCCATAAAATGCGCACGCCGAATTAACTCAGTGCCAAAATCTTTATGCTGATCCTCAAAACCACAAATTGTTATGAGTTTCCTCACTGGAAAAAAAATGCGTTTGTTGGTGAGATGTGCAAAAGATTTGTCCATGGAATTCGAACAGAACAGGATAAATCTGGCGGAAAAACCCCTGTGAATCTGTTGGATTTCTCCTCAGCAAGTAAACTTTCTACATCGCAGTGCTCCGAATGAGTCTCAAAGTTGGGTGCTTGAGGAAAGTCGTAAGAATTCTAATACGCGCTCTTATCATTCTTTCATCGCGCGATGGTACAAAATACCACAGATATTCACCTATAAATTTGATGTTTTGCGGTCATGTTTCCCGCGCGCACACTGATAAACGATAAATACTTTTACGATGCCTCTGATCGATAAGACGAAGAAATTCGTTGAGAAGTTTATTGATGAGCTCACGGGTATTCTGTTTATGTGAAAAATTCTCTAATTGCCTCTCCAGGTGGCGCCGCAGGAATTCGTCACCTGTCTCAATTGGGGATTGATTGAAGAATATCACGCACTCTCAATCGCTGGGATGATGATAAGGCAAATCACTGGTGAGCGTGTCAATAACTTGTCATTTGACAGCACACATTTTAAGGCTCTCTGATCCCATGGAGACAAGATCCATCAGTCAAGATGCTCTGTTCTCCCATTTCTACGGCACGGCGTGTATGAAATATCGTCAGGAGTGTGATAAGTAAATAAATAAATAGATGGAGGGCGAAAAAATCACGATATGCTTCTCTGTTTGTTTGTCTTTCGTCATTGCATTTGACTTCTTTCGGGCCTGGCGAGATAATCTCGAGCCCCGTGAAAGGAGAGCGACCTTTTATTTCAATCTCCGCCAGAGATATTCATCCACAAATATACACATGAACGATGATGGAAATGGCAAAGTTTTTCGATTGGCATCAATCTGGAGGAGGAGAGAGAGCGAATCCACTCAATCTTATTGCCTGAAAATCTCATTCTTCCCACATATAATGTGCCTCCTCTTAAACTTTTGTCATCAATGAATAATAAATAATCCGCCCTTTTTTCTGTTGGTTCAGGAAGGAAAACATTTTCTCCTATTCATGACGATTTCGTTGAAATCCCAAATGGAATTCACCTGATTATTCTAATATCCTTTAGCATATTTCCATTGCGAAAAGTATTATACATTTTCTCTGCTGTGTCTTCAAAGAAATCTGTCAAATTGAGTTTATTAGAGGCATTTTTCGCCATTCTCTTCTCACTCTTTAGCATGAGAATCCTCCACGAGTCGTGACAAAAAGTGCTCTCCTATAAATAAACATCCATGTAAAGTGCATTTCGTACATGGCATTATTAATAAAATGTGCTCGGAAATGTGCCTCTGTGGAGGTGAAAAAGGCCATTAAAAGCGAGTGAATATCAAATTCCTGTGTCGGTGCGCTCTTATGAAATTCCCAGCTAAATGAGATGTAAATTGAAATTTATTTTCACGGTGGTGATCATTGATAAGAGTGCACTGAAGAAGAATGGACTTATTAATTAAAGTGTCTCGAAGAAACTTGGACAGAAGAGTGGACGATGCATTAAGGAACTGACGTTATCGCGTAAATTTTGCTGGGTATTGAATATTGCGAAAGCTCTTGATGACTTAATAAGTCTTCTGGTTGATAAATTCGGCACAAGAACTGATTAATGCTTACCAAGTATTGGGTTTGTGAAGTGTATAATAAATCGTTGGCAGATCGTAGTGTTTTTATGAGACACTCAAAAATCCCACTTCAAGGAAAATCCGTTTGTGAGAGCAACCAATTAGATGTTTAATTTGCTGTTACAATTCAACAATATATATACTGTAACAAGAGACCACACAGAAATCGAGTGTGTTTTTTCTGTACTCACATCACAAAACATAAATATGAAATGTTTGAGAAGGAGGAATATTTTTGCGGCCACGAGGAGCCTCGCAAGAATTTATGTCTCACAAGAAAGGCGGTGTCAAATATCAAGACTGTGAGAATTATTGTAACAAGATCGAGTGAGTATTCTCCTCTGACGTTGTTCAACACGCGATTCTGGCGCTCTTTTTTTGCCCTTTTGGAATTTGAGAAAAAAAGGGTAGTTGGAAACCTCTCACTCGCTCTCACTCTATGAATTCCACGATTTATGCTCGCGATTATGATTCAATTGAGGCAACATTAATGGCTCGCACATCATTGATTCATTGGCCAAGTGACGAGAGATGAGAATAATGTTAGTTTACCACGAAGATGATTTATCGAAGCGTCTATATTTCGCCCGTGCAGCGCTCATAAATCCGATATTAATAGTAAGTTCATCATCGTGATTTTAACAGCTCTTTTTTCCGCGCTTGTCTTTGCAGAGAAGAAGCCCATATGGAGAGGAAAAGCGAGAGAAACCACCGGGAAAATGCGAAAGCGACGAAGAAGCGCCCGCAGCCGAGACACTATGCTGCACTTCGAGCAGTTTCACCGGAGACACACTCGGATCAGAGGTGAATGTCCTTGATGTTGATGATTGAACTCCATCTAGAGACGTTTTCGTCCCACTGATTTGCTTCCTTCGAAGGAAAACTTGAAACATCCTTTGCAATAGGCTTCGCAAGACAACTTATGCAAACTCTTTTCTTTTCCAGTTCGGTGGAGTTTCAAGAACCAGCTCAAGTATTTGTAAGTAAAACCCAATCGCACTAATTACAATTCGTCATCGTAAAAATTAATTATGCGCAAAATGACATAAAAATGCGCCCTCATCGCATTTTTTTCTCTCTCGGCGCCTACAATTTGTAACTGGGTGAAATGCCACCGAAGGACATTTCCTCCGCCGAGAGAAGAGATGCAATTAGAGTGACAAAAGTAATTTGCCGCATCGCAGCCATTTGGCGTCGTAAATTTTTTGATAGGAGTGAATTTGAATTGAATTTATGAAAACTACCATAAAAGTCGCAAGACAACCCCAAGGCAATTAAATTCATTTAACATTTGTCATTCCCTGGCATCTCTTCTGCGTGGTTTCTTCATCATTGTATATATATAGAGGAATTTACCACCCACTGAAGAGCGTCCGTTTATGGCTGAGCAAACTCACCAAATTCATAGTCAACAATGCCGACGTTCGGAGGGGATGAGAAATTGTGTCTTAACATCCCACTGCATTTAAGTGTAATCTCAGCTCGGAGTTATTGCTTTATGCGATTTCCTGGTGACGGAAGTGTCAGGAAACAAGACCGAAATTAACCGGAAACACCTCCACGATTCCTCCCGCTTGAGGAACGTGCCATCTGATTTGCTCAAATGTGGCCCACTCTTGACAAATTACATTCAGCATTGCATGGTGATGAGCCAAGGGGCGCCACATTTCACTCTAATTGTACCGAGTTCTATAAAGAAGCTAATTAACAATTTATCATGGGGAAATAAGAAAGAGAATTAATTTTTTTCATAGCAAACACTTACGTTATATTTGATTTTTTTTCGAATTATTTACGTTAATCTAATGTGTCATAAGCAGTTTTTTCTATTCTTTTTTGTATATAATACATAGATATTACATATTTTATTGTTCACGGCATGTATACAGCCCCCCTTTTTTCCGCGACCATCGCCGCAGAATTATAAAATCGTCTACATTGAAGTTTCGTTCGACAGTGTGCTTTCAAGTTCGCCATGGTTAGTAGTGATTTCTCTTCCTCCTTCAGTGGCATTGACTTTGTGCTATTCAGTCTCGTGCTGGTTATTTCATTCCTGATTGGATTATACCATGGAGTTTGGTCAAAGAACAAGCAACACACGCCCGAGGAATATTTCCTCGGAAGCCGAAACATGGGCGTTCTTCCTGTTACCATGTCTCTCATCGTGACCTTTGTATCTGGAGTCAACATCATTGGACTCTCAGTGGAAACTTACGTCTATGGAACTTACTTGTGGCATTATGTCTTCACCATCTTCATCATGCTACTCTTCACAACCTTTATTTTCCTTCCGATCTTCCATGAACTACAACTACCTTCCAGTTTTGCTTACCTAAAACTCCGCTTTGGAAGATCAGTTCAATTACTCGCTAGTTTTATATATCTGATGACAACAACTCTCTACGTTTCGATCAATTTGTACGTTCCAGCTCTGGTTTTGGTTCACGTCTTAGGAATACCCATTCCAGTGACTGTGGTAGTGTTGGGAAGTGTCTGCATTTTCTACACAGCCATCGGCGGTTTTAGTGCTGTGATATGGGCTGATCTGTTCCAGACGATTCTCCTGGTCGTTTGCTGCGTAGCAATTTCCTACATTGGACTTGATCTTGTCGGAGGAGTTGATGATGTGTGGAAAGCATCCGAACGCGGTGGTAGATTGATATTATTTGAGTGAGTAATCAATCTGTGAATCTGTGTATATTTATTTATTTTATCATTTTATATTTAGTTTCAATCCTGATCCGACTGTTCGATTATCAAGCTGGACAATGCTATTCGGTCATTCCTTAGTCATCACCCAAACCTTTGGTCTGAGCCAAACATCAATTCAACGCTTTCTAAGCGTAAAAAATCTATCTAAAGCTCGCCAAGTAGTAACTGGTTACTACTTTGGATTCCTCTTCTTTCATTTCTTCACACTCGCATCAGCGCTCATCATGTATGCGTTCTACGAATCTTGCGATCCTGTGGCTTCGGGTGTGATCAGCAAAAGGGACCAACTCTTTTCACTGTTTGTCTTCGAGATGGCTGAGCATTTTCCGGGCTTACCAGGACTTTTCATTGCCGGAGTATTTGCTGGAACGCTGTCAACAATGTCGTCGTGTCTCAATAGTTCAACTGTGTGTTTCTATGAAGACTTTGTACAGCCGCATCTTCCTGAAATGTCTCAGCGCAAAACTTGCAACATTCTCAAGCTAATAACTCTGTGCATAGGGATAATTGAAATATCATTAGTCTTCATATTGGAAAAGATAGGAACTGTTTATACGATTCTGATAACAATCACTGGCTTTACAAGTGGATCAATGCTCGGACTCTTCACTTTGGGCATGTTTATACCGAGAGCAAATCAGAAAGTGAGTATTTCGCAATCAATTGATACTTTTGTGATTTTAATTTGTGATTTGCTTGCTAGGGAGCGATTGCAGGAACATTGTCTTCCCTCGTTGTTGTCGGAATTATCATATTTGGTAGCTTCTCCAAGAAACCGGATCCAATTCTTCCAATGCGAACCGATGGATGTTTACACAACGTAACGATTTCTTCGCCCAAAGATGATTTTCCAGAAGAGGATTTGCCATGGATATTTCGCATAAGTTTCATGTACTTCGCAACAATAGGATTTTTCATTGTTTATATAGTTGGAATTCCTGTTAGTTTACTGACTAAGCATAGAGAAGTCAAAGATCAACGTCTCTTCGCTCCTTTCATGAGAAAATCCAATGATATCAAACATCTCGCAAATGATGAAGAAATGAAACCATTGTCAGGCTAAATAAAATATCTGCTAAACATGGAAATGCTTTGCCTCTGATAAATGATGATGAATTTCCACGATGAGATCAACAAACTTCCACCAAGTGTAGCGAACAATGTTTATTTAATTGCCTTCTCGAGAATTTCCTCTCTGGGCTCCGCCAAAGTATGGAAATCTTCGTGGAAATTCATTCTCTCGCTCAGCCGTTTATTTTGACATCGACACCCATCAAAGAGATGCCACGGCCTTTATCTTTGAGCGCCGGGATGTCATGCGACTTTATGGCCTTTCACGGGAATTCATAAGGAATGCGTTTGAGTGATGTTTGGCCCAGAAATTCAATCTCTTCTCGTCCGCAGGCTTCCGTTCATCGGCCGCGACAGGCGCTGAAGCGCCCCACTGTGCAGCATGCGGCGATCCACCAGCCAGTGGTCCGGGCCCTTCCGCGCGCTCAGGTGCAGATGAGTGGGGCGAGTCCTGTGAGCAACATCTATGAGAAGCACCTGTTGAGCCAGACCACGTTCGAGGGCGGCTCACGGGAGGGCGAGAGAGCTGTCCACCTGAGCCTCTCGGCGCAGCAGCGCCAATTGATGGCCATCATTGCCAGTCGAGGAGGCTTGTTCGCTGAACCGAAGCAGCCACTGTACGAAGTCATCGACGCTCCGCAGACCGACGCTCGTCCGCCGCCGAAGCCACGCTCGAAGGCCCCCAAGGAGGCGGTGATGAGGAGGATGGAGAGCCGCATCGATCCGGTCGGTGGGAATCTGACACCCGAGCCAGTGGAGCTGGGCTGCATCTTCAACAGTGTCGGCCACAAGTTTGAGTACCGGAACACCGGCCGGCTGCACCTGGAGACACTCACCTCAGCCGTCAGCCAGTCAGTGAGGTATGAAATTACTCTCTTTGTCTCTCTATTTACATAAATATATCCCGAGCAATAATAAGAAGCGACAGAATCGATTAACAGTCGCGCTGAGGTGATGATTAATCCAATACAGAAGTTCCCGAGTGCGAGAGAGTCAATTTAATCATGTGCCAAGCAGAATCGCCAGTGTGTGTTGGGATTGAGAACATGATTTACTGCTAATAAATGTCGGCCACTTGCTGGCATTTAATTGCCTTCCATAAAATGAAATCAAAGTGTTTTGCGATGTCAACGCTGGCCGACCGCAAAGATAAGACAGGGGATGGGATTTTCATTATTACATTGTCCATCAATGGGGAGGAGCGCCGAGGCCCCGAAATGATGATATTCCGCTTGGGTATCTCTTTCGCACCGGCTCTCGGGTCACGAGGAGCGAGGGTCAGTGGCTTTATGGGTGCCAAACATCCCAGATTAAATGATACTGTGACCGAACATCTTTAGCATTTTGCGGGCAAGACTCTCCTCGCTGCCAACGCCTGTAATCCTATTGGGAAGTTGCGTTCAGGCACTTTCCCAGCTCTGCACAAGTGTGAGCGCTTAGGAGGTGGTCCGAATTTATCGGTTCCAGAGTCATTAAATCAATAATGGCGAGTCTTTGCGACCCTTGCCTGACCTTCAGTCCAGAGTGGAAGTCATAAATTTTCACCTGTTCTCCGGCTCTTTTACACCCAAACTGAGCCTGTGTGCTCCTTGTTTGGTGTCGTTGTCATCATGAATCAGCACGGAGAGCAATTAAACACGTTTCGACTGTTACTCTGGTGGAGTCGTCATGAAATTTTGAAGGGACCACTTGTCTCCCGGGCTCACGTCTTGTGCGCTTCATCCCACCCACACTCCATTGTCAAGTGCGGTAGTAAATTAAAATTCAGACTTTCCAGCCCTCCGGAAAATCTCCTTCACTCTCACTTTTGGGATTTCCGTGACAGTTTTGGATGCACCGCAGTTCACCCATAGTGATGTTCATGTGTGTAATCCCCGCACCGAAAATGGTGAAATGAAGGAGCCAGATAAGTAGCTCCCTTCAGCTAAATACACGAACTCCCTCGTAAAGAGAAAAACTTGGACGCTCCCCGCCGTCTCTCTCCCACCCGCATCCCACTGCACACAGTGTTATTGTATTTGAAAACTTACATAGAAACTAAAGACACATTCGAGACAGCTGTGGCGCACTGTAATATAAATCCAGAAACAGTCAAAATGAAATAAAATGCTGAAATCATAAGATTTATCTCGGAAATTCCTCCAGAGACCAGCCATCCATCTCCAGCTGGGGCGCAAGTGTGAGTGGGTGACTCCTTGCGGGGGTGGAGAAAGTGCAGACGACACAGTCAGCCTGGAGTTCTCGCATTCTCCTCCGCATCTGGGCCACCTTCATATCTCTGGGCGACCATTGCTAGAGATCCGTGCCAAAAGTGTCCTAATTGATTCTTAATTTTCAGGGCGAATTTCTCGGACATCCCGACAAGATTTATCATTACTTTCCACTAGGAAACTCGTCCTAAAAATCCACTCTCATCGCGAGGCATCACGCCTGGTATTGTAATTAGTCCTTGAAGAGGTTTTGCCACGTCACGCCGCTCTTCTCACTGCAAATATCTTGGCGCGACTTTCGCCCGTCAGATTGTTTGTTTAATTAAATATCCTGCAAGCGTGTATGAAAATCCCCGGAAGAGGTGTCAAGTGGGTGGAACATCCGTCACCCTCTTGTGCAGAGAAATCTCAAGTGGTTGTATTTGCTCTGAATTGCACCCGTAAAAGTTAAGCATTTTGAAACAGTTAGAAAATATTTTCACCACACTGAATGACAAAGTGAAATTGCTCTTGACATGTACTTACAGTTCATATGAAGAGTCGCGCCCCTCTTCGGGATTTAATTAAATCCCACCCTGAGATTTTGACGCTCTGGGAACTTTTAAGGGCACATCGAGAGCCATGCTCTCCCCTATTATATTCTTATATGTCGCTTATTTGGTGCATGATAATGAATTTTTGGTTTGCTACGGCATTCCTCAAATTCCACAGATGGATTGCCATTATACGATGGGCTTTTCCGTGAATTTCCCCACTCGCTTTTTCTTGTTTGACACAGCCGTTGACACTCTATTAGAGTTATTTTTCCGACAAGAGCAAACAGTTCAAAAAAAGAAGTGTGTATGTTTGGTATTTGTGGATGAGTCTCACCACATTATTCACAGTGCTCATTGAGTGTCTGTTTCTAGAATGCCATATAGTTTATAATTTGGAGTGGAAATTGGATTTTTGTCATTTTCACCACCAGTTAACAGCAACAAAGTCATGTTGAAGCTTGGCCTGTGGAAGAGTGAAAAATTGCCTGGCATGTGACTAATTGCAACGAAGAGGTTTCCATGCCTTCCTACTAATTATAATATGAGATGAGATGTTTCTAAATATTATCTCTCCCGCCCAGAGTGGAAAATTGAATGAAAACAGGAGGGGCGCAAATTTTCACTCTCTGTCTCTCTTGAAAAACAAATTTCTCACTTTAGAGTGTTTAAGAGGAAAAAATTTTATTTTTGGACAATATTCCTCAACGTCTTTTTATGGGAAAACTTCATACTGTTTTCCATGTCTCACTTTTTGGCACCCTCTCAATACTTTCACGCCCATTTATTACCCAGAGAGTCTCATCTCAGGCAAATCTCAACGCTTTATATGACGCGCAACGTTTTGGGGGAGAGAAAAGGTGAATGCGAAGCCTAGTAAATATTTTACATACCACTTAGTAATAATTCCCGCTGAATGTCTTATGTTAGGTGATTACGAAGACTTCTTGTGCTTCTCCTTGCTTCTTTCTGGTCAGATTCTCCCTGCCTTCCTATGCTTTTCGCACCCAAACAACATTCGATACGTTCTGCCGTGAAGATGTTTTTATCTACCGTGAAATTCTTTGAGCCACATATTTTCACATCATGAAAAATCCACCAAATTTCCATGTTTAACTTTGTGGTTTGAGGTATTTGTTTGAATTAACCCTGCGCAGAAATTGCCATTCTGTTGACGTGCGAGTGTTGATGAAAGATTCCTCAACTAATTGGGTCAATTTGGTCAGAGAAACTTTTCCCAGGGCTAATTTTCTCGAGGGTGAAAAACCTTTTGTTAACGCAGTTTCTCAGGTATGCGCTCTCGTGTTTGTCTTTTGTGTTACATACCTTTTGTTGTTCTTTCCCTGACAACACCGTGAAAGTGTGACGGCTAAAAAATGACTGCGGTGCAAGAAAATTGTTTGTCCAGCTCATTTACAGCAATCACAAGGGCTCCACAAATGACAATTCTATAAACGAGCACAGACAGACAGAATGGTATTGACGGTGGAGCGACGGTGGAGACTCATCCGGAAGATTGTGGTTGATACAGACAACACTCTTATGCATATATTTATTGTGCTTAAGGAGACACCACAAAGCAGCTGTTATAGCTGCGGGCGTTTTGTCGTTTTGTGTGCGAATCAGATGAAATGGTCTCGGTATTTTCCTCCTTCCAGCGCCTCTGATTGTCTCTTTTGATGCTTTAATTTTCAAACATCCTGGCGTAACGCAGAGGGCTGATAAATAGAAAATCTGAGCGCGTTTCTCAATTGATGGAACTGACATTTTTGGCATCTGTGCAAGGATTTATGTTGATCATTTTGCCTGTGTGTATGCGAGACACTTCCGTGGTGCTTTTCTTTGCCCAATTGGGCCATTGATTTGCCCCTTGGCGACATATTTTCAAGCGGTGAATGGAGTCTCTCCTTGATGGTATACAATTGTAGAGATTTGAGGTCACATCTGGCCACAATTGAGACTTCACTCACGATACTACAGAGATTCTCTTTATGCCCTCAATGTGTGCAAAATGTTTATGGGGGACATTCATGGGAGGACGAGCAAGAGATTTGTCTTCGTGTTCAGTTGGTCTCTCTGGGACTTTGCCAGGAGCCGCTGGAGTGAGTGTGGCAAAAAGTGCAAGTAGTTGGGCTCGCACAAGTCCTCGGCAATAAAATAATTACATATTTTGTACAAGAATAATTTGGTACAGGGATTGTGCATTTTCGTGTGTGTTGGATCGAGTGTGTCCCCTGCGGATTAGCACCCCCGCCACCCCCGCATTAATTAACGCCACATCTCCGAAAAGCGAAATGGCGTGGTTAATAATGGCACATTTAGATGAGTGGCTAGTTGTAGGATTACTCCGGCTGGCAAAGAGTGGAGGAATTGAGATGGAAAACTTGTACGCTTCGGGTGAGAGGCAGAGAGATAAATTTTCACCACACACAACTCCCTAAAAGGCCACTACTCAGTACATAGCAGCATTTTCCTATGTGGAACATATGCAATGACTACATAATGGCAATGCGGGACACAATTTACTTTATTTAAATGAGCTCGATGACACTGAAAATGTGTCTGCCGTCACTGTTTAAGGGGTTTTAATTGAATTTATTACACTTTCCATGTTGGAAAATTCTTACAGCCGCTGTGTTTTTTTTTCTGCCTCTGCAAAAGTATTGGCGTGTAAACAATAATTGAACGTGGAGGGAATTTATTGCAAAAGACTGTGTGAGAAATTGTTGTCGACGGGAATTGAGCAAGAAAAGTCGTGAAGAGATGATTGGATTTATTAGTTATTGAAGAATTGCCCTCGAATATTTTATTGCCCGTATTTTCCAACATTTGTCCAATATTTCGAAATGAATTTAATATTCTTCTATTGATATCATTTAGTGGACCGATTCAGATTCCTCAGTAGCATAATATCGAGCTCACCCTTATCATAAGAATCACTCTTTATTCTTTAAGCAAAATATCAACCTAATTCATATTTTATTGCCTCTTGGCGCTTTCAAAATGAGAGGAATCTTCCAAAATTCCGTATGCAGAAAGCATTCCGAAAGAGTGGCTGAAAAGATTTTAAATATTATAGTTGTGATTCTGAATGTTATGACTTCTTAAAAATGGTATGCAAATTCCATGCAAATTTCTCAACTGATTCACAAAATATTGGATACAGCAGAAATTCCACGGCATTTGCCAAAATAAACTTTTCTCTCTGTCTCTCCGTTTTGCTGCTTTCTGACTATATCTCAATATATTTGCTCAATCAGGCTGAAAGGTGAGTGGGTGAGAATAAAAAGGTGACAATTTATGGTATTGGTCTCGCCTCTGAGGTTCTATTGATTCTCCTCAAGGGTGCATTGCGAGTCTCAGGCGCAATTTCTCCCCAATCAACGCCCTAACGTGATTATCCTTCTTTTAGGCTCATTCAATGCCTTCTGGGTGATAAATAACTCCTCAATTTAGCCAGTCGCATTCTTTCCTCGGACACTCCACATGTTTCGTCCTGACGGAGCACATGTGGAAGGGTGCACGAGAGAGCGAGTCATTGGGAAGAGTTCCCTGTGGAATTGTCGCACTCAGAGAGGAATTTCCACTCTTGCGCCTTCTTCGCTCTCTCTCTCTCTCTCTCACTCTCGAATTTCCCCAATTTTCATGCCGTCACGTTGCTCAACAGTCCTTACTGTTCATTCACCACCGGCGATGGTCTTCAGTTCACCGTTGAACGGCGTGTTTGAAGCATCTGCTTCTCGACTCGTCCCGGAACAAGTCCTCGTGGTGCACTTTTTATATCCTCCCAGACTTTGATACTACAAGTGAATGGACCAGAGACTCTCCTGCAGAGGCACAAGAGCTCAAGACAGACTGATATACAGTGTGAAGTAATTTGTGCATTTTTGCAATAAACCCAGTGGATGAAACTAATTGCAGAGACAATAAGCTAAAGAGCAACAATAAACCCATAACAAATATAAGTGATTCGTGGAATTTATTCCATCTCTTGCGAACTCTTCTTTTCTTTTTATCCCGCCATCAATTGGCCGGGAGAAAGAGTGTGTTTTCTGTGCTGTTGAGGTATATATAAAATATTCCTCGAGCGTCAATATTTATTTAATAGCCGCGACTAAATGGATCTTGTGCAGAGTGCAAGATATATTTATCTTAATTGAATAGTATTTGCTGAAAGAAATGTGCATTGCAATCACTCAAAACGATATTCACGATGTCATTTAATGGATATACGAAATTGAAATGATATTGGATAAACAAATCTACGCCAGTGATCATGAACATTTTATGAAAATCACGAAGAAATGTACAGATGAGTGGTGAAAATAGTGGTGCTTCTAATAAAATTTTTTTTAAGAAAAAATCGGTTAAAATTTATTTTAAATGTCAAAATAGCCGACGGGATAAAGAACATAATTTCTAATAAGGATATGTTCCTAAGCTAAGCTGAATTATATCAATTTAGTATTTATTTATTCATAAATCTTCAGACGCCACTATTTTCATCACTTTATTGTGTTTAGTGCTATTAATCGGCGGCGCTAATGGCTTGTCTTTCAATAACCATCGCATCTCGCTCACTCTTTTGGTGCTGAAATGAACGATGCATGATTGGCTCTCTTGGATAAGCCCAGTGACTATCCGTATATATTCAATCATTGCCACATTATCGCTCGTCTTTACCGCAGCATAGCTATGTATTGTGCACATTGCTGCACTCGAAGCACCCTCATGACGATGCCTCAGTCGCAGGCGAGCCACCAAGTGCGGTGGAAGCAAGAAGTGTTCAAGATAAATCTCATCCTCTGAATCTGCCCGCAAGGAGCATCAATAATTCACTTTATGGCCACATCAAAGGGAGTTGTGAGAAAATTGTATCGGGAGGGAAAAGTGAATTCCAACCCAACCCTCGTCAGTGCCTCAACCCTAAAGCCACAATGATATTCCGGGGGGTGAATTCAATAATCATAATATCAAACATTGAAGATCAATTGGACAGAACTCGGATATTTATTTAATTGAAAATGCAACAGATGCGTGCGTTTTTTGTCATTTTTAGTGAGCATCGCAATTGATGGGAAAAAAGAGCATTTTCATTTGACGTGCATAAATTAAACAGACGCTCTCGGGAAAATATACATGGTAAATTCCGTAAATTCATCTACTCAACCACAGAAATTCCCATTTATTTGATAAAAATTAAATACCAAAATTTAATCAATGCGAAAGGGAGCCTTATGTGAACTTTCACATTGGGCACGATGGCTTTCAGCTTAACATACAATTTGGAATTGTATCGTCGCGAAGGGTGAGGAAAAGGCGAGTTTTCACATCCGTTCTCTATATAAATATTTCTCTTCTTGGACTCCCTCCTTTTTCGCCATGAAATCAAAACGCATTAATGCGTCACGCACACTTTTTTGCTGCCCCATATCACTCCATTTATATCCACATTCGTGTAATTAATTTTCAATCCATTCACCCCCTGTTGGGGAGCCCAGGAAAATTCTTTTCATTCGTGGGGGCATCCAATTCATCACTGTTATTGCCCACAATTCTGTCAACAATCTTGCTGCGGAGCACAACTGTTGGGGATTGCATTCCATAGTTGGGATGGAATGGAGTAATTTGAATTCCCGACTGAAATGCTTCGACTTTTCTGATACACTCGTTTGAGGACTCAAATCCATCACTTGCGAGCCCTGTCCATTAGTTTGCCTCCAAATAACCACCTTCCGTTGAATTCATACAAACGAGTGAGAAAATAATTTGTGAGGGCAAAATAGGAGAAAAAAAACTTTCCACCAAAAATACACAAAAAGGAACAGTGAAATCAGTCGATGAGATTTTCTGTGGAACATTTGCTAAATTGAAATGAGAGTTGGAAAGGGAAGTCAGTGCGGAGCGAAGAGCTCAATTTCGGGGCTGAAAGTCACGCGAATTGATTGAAAGGCGAGTGGGTGGGTTTCAAGTGTCATTGATTATTTTATTTGCTCAACATATTCATTGTAGACCAAAATTAAATGGTGTAGAGGCGATTTTTTTGCGAATAGACAGTGAGAACGTGACGAAAAGTGTGGGAATGGCGAAAAAATCTGCCAATTTGCTGTTCCCGGAACTCCCCGAAGTGGACGGAAGGCCCAATTTACTTCTGTGATCAATAACCGCACGTTGAGTGACCATTTCAATTTGCTGAACTCGATCGCCAGATGATTATTCCATGTAGCAGAATAGTGGTTAAAACTGTGGACTGAGTGAGACGTGCATGTGGATGGCGAGGCGCTCTCTGGGGCCACAGGAGCTCCCCAACCGCCCCACTCAGTGATAGTGCAGCGAGTCGAATGGGCCGCAAATTGACATTGTAGCCGACACCAACGTATGAACATGTCCGCCACAAAGAGGTAATTCTGACGATTTTCTAAGGCAAATGGCCGAATGACATCTATTTATCTTCCTCCCAACCGAAGATGATTTATTGTTGGTGCTTCGGGCTCAAAATTAGAACCTTTTGATCTGCTACTCGCAATTTGTGGCTATTCAAAACTGGAGAAAAAAGTGGTTCACACTGCTAAATGTTACTATTTCCTGTGTAAACAAGGATTTGCCTGTTCTATCGCATGCATACGATTATACCTCTTCTGAAGCTTTCTAAGCTGCTTGTGATGCTTTCCATACCTGCGTTTTAAAACTTTTCTTTCCTGCGAATGTTCGAAAAGCAGCACAAACGATTACAACGTAATCCTGTCATGTATCTCATTACAAAAGATCTCCGCCAGACCGCAAAAAAGGCCTCACTTAGTTCCCCATCCATGGAGTCTTTCTGCTGTATTGACTTCATTAGTTTCCGCCTCTCTGCCGGGCAAAAATTCCCCGTGCAGACCAAAAGCTCCGGCCCGGGAAGTGTGAGTGTGGCGGAAAGGGGAATAAATAAAGTTTCGCCTCAGCAAACGAATGTCAGTTTCGGTGGTGGGATTTGAATTTGAAGCCCAATCACGTGCGAACTGGCAACGAACACGTACCAAACTGAACAAATGAACTTTTTCCTCTCATACAATTTTTCTTCTTCTCGCCGTCAACTTTTCCATCTCGGAACTTCTCAGTCTATATATGAAAAGCCATTTTATGGCCGCGACACGCTCGCCAATGATGCGTACAGAGTGGACTTCATGCATTTCTTACGAATATTCAAGAAATTGCCTTCTTTATCTTATCATATCCTAACGAGCGATTGTCTGTTACTTCGCTTATTCAAGAGGGAGTATTAAGTTAGAGCGCTCGGCAAAGTCTTCTGCGCTTTTCACATGACTTGCAGTTGGTGAAAAAAAATGTCTGGAAAAAGTCCACATTAGCTGACTTTTCTTGGCTGATTTCTCAATGTGTCTTTTCCAGGTGCTCTTTTTTTGCCTCTGTCACATTTTTGGGGATGAAAAATGAAATTTGAATGTGATTTTTCATCCTGTGCAAAAGGGAGGAACAAGGAAATTTGTGTACGTATATTGAGAAGTTGGTCTGATATGACTTTTTTCCCTCATTTTAAGGATATTATTCGGATGACGTACCTTATATGCTATTCTTTAAAAATGTGCTTGTTAACAAACTTCATATTCAACATCATGATAAAACATTTCCCTGACCTCATCTGCAACATATAGAATTTCACCCTGCATTTCATTTCTTGAATTACACAAATTCGCTCATTGCTGTGAAGCTCAGAGACACAGAATCTTCTCCATTATTCAGCGAAAAGATACACAGCAAACAGAGACGAATCATAGGAAAAAGATAAATTAAATTTTGGGAATATCTCGTCTGTCTCTCGTCCATATTAATATCATTATTATTATTATAGACACGCCAGTTGTTGGGGTTCGAGGATGACATTCCACGTGTGGCGCGGTTCAATGTGATGCTCTGTTGTGCCGTGTGGATCACTTATACTCCCATTTCACGTAAACATCGTACAATGCGAAAGTAGCAAAATAAAAGTGGCGTAATACGAAAACCCGGTAAATATTCGGCGCCATTCCTCAGACAAAGTGCCCCCAAAAGGGAGAGCTTTTGCCTGCCAGTTGGATTCACATCGTGTCCCATGTGTATGTGTGTATCCTTAAGGAAAAGTATTCCGTCATTTTTGTACATAGGCTTCGGCAGTCATTTAATATTCATCTCAGATATTGGGTGGAAAATGCTGTTTCTGCTCTGTTATTTGGTTTAATATTGCTACCATGCCTGAATGCGAATGGAGCAGCTGGGAAAAATTTTCTCCACGGCATTTACTTTCACGAAACTGCCACTATATATACGCAGTATTGTAATTAAAATGCCCTGCAAATAAACCTCTCAGTATTGATCTGAAATGTTTTATGACTGCGATGACAATTGTGTTATTGTGTTTAGGTTTTGGTCACAAACTCGCAACACAATGTTTGTTAATTACTTGATATGTAAACCGCTTAAATTCTGCGGTCGCACTTTTCTATTGTTCTAATTAACATTATGGTATGTGTGAAAATGGACATAATAATGTTATTGACAATACATTTAGCACTATTTGCGCTATTTTCCCTAAGTAGTGCACTTTTCATTTCGTGTTCATTATTTGGTCTGCACTATTCTACACATATATAATTCTAATGGCGATTCAGCTAAACAGTAACTAACTATAAATCCTCTGTAATGGAGCGTTCGATACCAAATAATCACCTTTTTTCCCGGACGAAGTGTGGGAAAATACTGTTCCATTATGCAATTCAAATAAATAGAATATAATTGTTTGTTTCGCGATTATATGGCTGACTGATTATGGTGATAACTGAACATTAAATATTAATAGCGTACAGATTTTACCAAATGACCAAACAAATGAGAATTTTATTATTATATATCTAATGGATGAAAAACAGGATTGATCCCTTGTGCGCACTCCGAAGCCGATTCGGCGGTGTGAATTCCTCAGTTTTTGCCCAGGTTGTATTGAATAATAACGAAAATTGTCCCGGTCGAAAGTAAGCTATTCAAACTTAGGGACCTGGGGGTGGAGGAGGGCAAAAATGGTTGAAAAAACAGCATCAAAATGCAATTGGATAGAAAATATTTAATATTTAATATTTATTGTTATTTTCATAACATTTTTTACACCAATAATCCGAATGTAAAACCAATCTTTCGTATATAAATTTTCATGTTTTGCCATTGTTCAAAATTCTGCGATCACGCTAACTTTTTAACTCCATTTGCAGACATAAAATTCAAATATATGCAGCGTGAGTTATAAGGCAAAGTTCAACTTCGATAGGGCAGGTGTTAAATTAATATTTCCTCTCGGCGAGTGTAAAACTCCCCGGGCCTCGAATCTCGTTTTGCGTTAAAGTTGATGGTCGTGCGATTTGGCGCACATTAGAATTCACCCACTCATAAATATACATGAAAAATCTGGGGGTAAAAGAGAAAACAAGAAAATATACGTTTGGAAGGCGCAAAGCTTTGAGTTTTAGCTTAACTTTTTTCTCCGAGTGTTGACATGACGAATGGGAAATTTATTCATAATCCGCCCTGTGATGTCCTCGCGACAAACAGAGGCGAAAAAAACTCATTCGCCAAACAGAAAAATCATGTGAAATCTCTCTTTCGCGCTGCATTTACTCTGTCTATATATGTAAATAGATTCTCAGGGCTTTACGGATCCTCCAGCATCGCAATCCGTAACGTCACGCGGGGGTGGGCAAAGGGCAAAAGGCTGCAATGGAAAAATATGTTGATTTAATCTGATTTCACTGGGCCGTGGGAGGAAATCTCGCACAGCTACTTGAGGAATGTTCTTGCATGGGGGTCGGGAAAAAAGTGTGTGTGGTGAAAAAAATGTCAGAAAGATGTCATCAATTACTTTGCTAATCCTTCTTAGTGTTGCTATAAATTCTATCAGATTAAATTATCCCCTACGCGTCGTCTCATTTTGAGGGGTTATGGATTTAAATGACATTAAATCCGCCGCTCGCAAATGTACCGTAAATCACATTCAACTATGTCTGGGTTGGCCGCAGAAAAAAGTGCATAAACAATGGGTTTTGGGGCAAAAAGTTGCTAAAAGTGGCTTTAATCTCCTGACATCAGAAAGAGAGCTTTCTTCCTGTGTTCAACAATACATACATATTATCGCCAACACATGTGAGAATGAGTGTTTCTGTGAATCTCATAAGGTTAAATGGTCTCAATTCTTCTTACTCTTAATCCACTTTCACCTACTGAAATGATAATAAATTCGAAAATCATCTACTGTCACCGTGTTATTGCCGAAAATTTCTCGCTCTTCCCTCGAGGAAGCATGAACACCTCGCCTGAATTAATGTGGTTCTTTCTGGGTACTTTCATCACCTCTAAACCTAATTAATGCCCCTTGTGAATTAATAACCTGCAGGAGTGCGACCGGGCGGAAAGCCCGGAAATTCCCACGTGAATTTCTGCGTGAAAGAGTGACAAGTGGTGAGAAAGAAGTGAGAAAGCCTGGGCTGTGGATGGAGTGTGTCTCCCCAACAGCCATGATGACACCTGCGACACAAGACGCCCGAGACGGTGGGTGCCAGTGTATTAGGGGCGGATGGGTTAGAGAGAGGGTGCAGGAGCACCGCCTGACAATGGGGCTGCGATGGCAAGACGGGGATGTATTAATAATTCCCAGTGACAAGTGAAATATGGCCCAGATGCTATCATTTGAATGCAAAAAGCGGGGAGAAGGAAATGGAGTCTTCCGATATCTTCGGTACACGTCGCTCTCTGCAAATGCCGAGAGTTGAGAAAGAAGAGGCATCCACAATTGATGGGATGGGTAAGAAAGAGAGAGAGAGAGAGGGGGATGGAATCGGGAAAGCTATTCACGACTACGTGTGTTTATTTGCCTTCTGCCTCCTATTGACAAGTTTTAAATTTATGGAAAAGCCAGAATTGTGTGTTTTTTGCTCTCTCCATGCCTTTCACTCGTAACATTACTCTTTTATTTTATTGTCTGGTGTATATGTATTTATTTCCGAAATGCGAAAAATGACTCTGGAGCTTTTGTATACCTCTACACACGGATTGAATGTGAGTGCGGCCGAAAAAAGAGCACCCGCGCAGAGTGGGAAGCGATAAAATCATTTGAGGCAGCATGGGAAGCTCGGAGTTGAAACACAGGGATGTGGGGTGCAAAAGGGATCAAGCCTGGAAGGTTTTTGCTTTTCGGATATTTTAATCAGATAGTAGAAATCCCATCAGCTTTTTACCCACGCACACACACACACAAACGTACAGACAAACAACCATCTCTCGCTCTCAAGAGCTTTTTGCGGAGCTTCTCGCGGAAAAACACATCCTTCCGCCGTGGTTGAGCCATCATTTTTTACGGCCCGCCTGTCGTATTATGAGGAATGACAGAACGAATCCCTAACATAAATATCATAGCCACTTAATCGTCCTCATGAGTCATTTGAGTTTTATTCTTGCCATTGCAGGATGCCCCAGGGCCATAAAGTGACGTCCAGTGGACAGGGATTGCACAAGAGTCGCGCCACGGAGATTTTCAGCTCCTCGGATCGTGGGGGGTTCTGCGGCGCCCTCCAGCGCACCCCGCCCGCCATGCCGGCCGCAATATCGCGGCGGCTGGCCAACAGAGAGAACGCCGGCATTGGCAAGGTGAGATAAATGCGTGATGTGGTCTTTTACGATTCCCGAATTTCTCCTCTGCCTAATGTATGACTGAGCTGAACCTTTCCCTTTTCCTTTCATCTGTAAATATTGCAAGTGTAAGTGAATTTTCATAACCTCTCTTGTGCACACTTCCCATTGAAATATTAAAGGTAAAATGTATAAATTAAGCACTGAGCTTCAGCTTTGCTATACACAGTGCTTTTCATCAGAGAATATCCCTCAGCAAGTCACTTTTGGACAAGATGAAAGCATTCAAGAGTATGCACATCAAAGAGCATCCCATAGTCGTAGTGAATAGGCGAAAGGACGTTGCTAATTAAGAAGCTTTTTGGCGTACTGTGAAAAGTAATTCCCTTTGTTTCACCCCAACAGTGCTCCGACTGATTAAATCTCCTCTTGGCCTCTAAATAAATGAAATAAATTCTATTCAATCCAGCTGGGGTGTGGGGTGGGTTCAACCCGCAAAAAAGGTAGAAAAGTCTCTCGAATGGACGTAAAATTTACTGGGTTTCTCTTGCTAACTTGCTGTGGGGAAATTGATTTGGAAAGCGGCGTTTGTTGCTGGAAACACGTGGCTCCAGTCATTTGACCCAATTTACAGTGCTTAGGGACACATTTACACACACGCATGGTGTGAGTGTCCCGTCCATAAAAAAGAGCACAGCGCAATGGGAATTTTCGACAGAATCTTGTGATCTTTTAAAATTTACGATTTGAGCTTTTTTCTGCCAGCGAGCTTTATGTCCTACTCGACATTTCGTTTTCATTATCTACACCCCAAACCTGTCCCACTTCACTCTTTCTGGGTATAATGTCAGGAGCCCCAAGGCACGCGGAGAGTGTGACAAGAATCCATGGGCGAGGGCGAGAGTGAGAGTGAAAGAAAAAAAATTTACGTAAATTATACCATAAAAGACGACATTTTACAACAGTGAAACTGCTCATAAAACACACTTTTATTATATAAAATAACCACGTTTATACAGAACGCATAAATAGTTAGTATCGATCGCAATATAAGTGAATTTATGTCACCCATCCAACAATATTGTAAATTAAGAACCTATCACAGTCATAATTCTATGTAATATCAGGGTTTCTTATCAAAAGCCACACAGCACATATAACACCCCCGCCAAGAGGGCTTCACCCCAACACGAGTGCGCCCTTCTAAATATTGCTTATTCGAATTTGTGATGAAGTTAATAGAGGAAATACCAACCGATGGACGATTTCATTTGTATTGTGCCATGAGCTGCTTTTCTCGCATTCTGTATTATATAGACTCTCTTCAAGTCTTCCTCTTCATCCACGTAACATTTCTATTGATGACGCGACCAAATTCCAACCCATAAATCCAATTCCTAACGATGTTTCGACACACCAAATTGCAATAACAATAACTAATAGGAGAAAGGAGCAAGAAAAAAGAGCCTGAGGAGTTGTGCCTGGGTAATATTTTTTCCGCCAAACTATACAAGAGTGGAACTTGAGGGCTTTTCACATGACTTTTCACCATACACTCAATTCCCACAGTCGCTGGGCGGGCGCCATTGGCATGAGATAGTGGGCAGAAGGAGAACAGAAGGGATTTTTTTTGTAGCTCTGGCGTGGAAAATAGGTGAAGGTTTCACTCCCCAATCTGGCGCGAGGGCCTATTAAGTGATAATAGTGCGATTTTCCACTGGCCAGGTGGGATAGCATGGCATTATGGCCAATTTCGCCCATACCTAGGCCATTCCCATTTGTCGTAGCCCATTTTTATGGCACTGCGCCAACCATAGTAATTACCCCTGATTTGCATAAAAAATCGATACTGTGGTCACAGAATACAAGCATTATACTATTAATAATGTGTGTAAAACCCATTGGCCAGGGCTCACGGTGACCATTCATTAGCCGCTGTAAATGAGCCTGATAAGGAGTGGAAAAAAACACGGGAATTACCTGAGCCATAAAGTAAGAGATTTGCGACACATGTTTCACGGTGCGGAATCTTAACGCAAAGTGTATAGGAAAACATCCACAAAAAAGTCACTTGTTTCAATGCTTTCAATGCTTTCAAATGCTCTCAAACAATAATGGCACAGGTAGACAATGCTGCAGGACTCTGCGTCGAGTATTTGAAGCCCCATCATGAAAATTAAACGGTGAAATGCCACTCCAATTTGCTCAATTTTCATTACCAGGTAAAAGTAATGCTCCGCATAGCAGACAATCCGGCCACTTGTGACGAGGGTACGACCTCTAGTTACTTGTCTGTGGACAAGAAGAAGCGTCAAGTGACGCTCTCTGACCCCAGCCAGGCGTCTCTGGCCACCCATCAGGGTGGCTCTCAAGAGCGCGGCCCGATGGTGGCGGCGCCCAAGATGTTTGCCTTCGACGGGCTCTTCACTCCTGAAGACACTCAGGTGAGTAAGCTGGTTGAATTCACCTAGCGCCACAATTGACCGACTTAACTCTCCCACACAGTCTGACCTCTGCTCCGCGGCGCTCAGTGACGTGATTCCCGCCGTGCTGGATGGCTCAGATGGATGTCTGCTGGCGCTTGGCTATCCGGGGGCAGGTAATTACATTAATATGTATTTCCCCATCGTTTGGCGTGTGAGACTCGTCAGTTGGGCGCATCAGTTCAACACCCCTTGACCACCGGCGAACTGTTGTTGCGTGTAATTCGGTAAACATAATAAATTTCCCGCGTGAACTCTCATCCCTCTTTGCGCATCAAGTCTTGTCATGGGGGTGGAAAAAAGTGGGAACTTCCAGGATGAGGGGAGAGATGTTGGGATGACGCTCAAACTCAATTTCGGTTGATTTGCATTTGAAAATGATTTGTGAAGGGCGCTTGCGGGGCGCCCATGAGAAATTGATGTGCGGCAAATGCATTTTGTGTCATATCAATTCTCTCACACGCTTCTTCGTCTTTCTAGGGCAATCCAAGTCGATGATGGGATCGATAAGTGGTGCAGGAGAGCTGGGAGCCATTCCGTGTGCCATCTCCTGGCTCTATCGTGGCATCAATGAGCGACGCCAGAAGTCTGGAGCGCGATTCTCAGTCAGAGTGTCTGCATTGGGCGTTAATGCCACGAAACCTGGATCGAGCTCGAGAGATTTACTGGCAGCACATGCCACAGGTAAAGCCCTGACATTCCATATTCTCGGGTTAAATTATGCATGCAAAGTGGGCGAGGAATGATGAAGAATGCCACATGGCGAGGGACTTCTTGGTGAATTTTCCCAGTGTGTTTTCCGCACAAAATCACATATTTATGATACATGACGATGCTATACGCAATGTAATAAGCAAGAGAGGGAACGCAAAATCCTTGGGTTTGTGCACACCAAACGCCTTTTTCAGGCATGAATGATTGCAGAGGAAAAGAAGCGGAAAATTTATAGACTCACAATGTATAACTTTAATATCATCCCTCGCCATTCTGTTGCTTGTAATTTTCTCTAGTTCACGTAATTTTATTCATCTGTGTCATCAGAACCACATTAAAAGGCTGACAAGAGTGGATTTTCATAGATTTACAGACTAGTATGGAAAATATTGCACCACTCTGAAGTTTATTTATGTTTTTCACATGCTCTTGTTTATTTTCCTGAAACACTCCAAGTAGCAAAACATATTACAAAGTGTCGCATTAAATGCAATTGTCTATCAGCAGTGAAGTGATATAGCGTTCATGACACCAATTTCCATTAATCTTCTTGGATTATTATTTCATTATTCCACACATGTGCAGATATTTTGCACAATTTCACCAACTGGGCCTCACCAGCTAACTTTTAGCATTCATTCTCGTGGTTGATGGCACAATAAAATGTAGAGAACGCGCCAAATACACCACGATTTATACTCGCGGAACTTTAATTAATTTTCTCAATTATCTTAATGACTTCACTGGAGGAGTGGTTTTTGGGGTGGCTTTATGCTTTTATTGGAATTTCATGTTTGTATTGTAAGCGTACAGAGAGCTAGAATGTTTCGCAGGGCTTTCAATATATTATTCCTTTCGTAGAGGAGAGCGAAAGAGAGAGTTTTAAACAGAGAATGTACATGAAAACACTACGATCCTCGTGGAATTTATTGAGCCATTTGAATTCACAGAACAGAGTTGAAGAGTTCATGATCCTCAGGCAAAATGGGGGTTTGTTAAATTTGTGAACCAACTGTTGTGTCAAATGTTTTAAAGACAAATGTTAATTTAACACAAAAGACAAACACTCTCTTTTTCTAATGGAATTAAAACTCCCAACGATGCGATGTTTTCAACTCTGCTCGTTGAGTATGTGAACGAGTGCATTGTCGGGAATGTTTTGAGCTGGAATTGCACCAATTCTCCCTCCCTCGGCCTTGTCTCTCTCTCTCTCATCCATTTGATGTTATCCTGTAAACTGCTTGGCAGAGTCCGACGAGTCGCCAGGTGTGTACTTGAGGGATGATTTTCTGGGCGGCCCCACTGAATTGCGAGCGCCCACGGCCGAGAGAGCAGCCCTGTTCCTGGACACCGCGCTGGCGGGACGAGGACACAGCAGCGCCCTGGAACCCGCTCTGATCTTCACTCTGCACGTGTACCAGTACAGTCTGGCCGGCAAAGGGGGTGGTAAGTTCAGGAAGAATGCATGCATTTTCATTTCGAATCTCATCGGGTGCTGTTTGCAGTGGCGGGTGGCCGGAGTCGCTTGCACCTGATTGACTTGGGGGGCTGTGCAAATCGAGCCGGCGGATTGCCTCTGTCGGGCATTGGGAATGTTTTGCTAGCGATATTGAGTGGTCAAAGGCATCCGCCGAACAGGGACCACCCTCTTACGCCCCTTCTTAAAGACTGCCTCGCCCCAATCACCTGCCACGTGGCAGTTCTTGCTCATGTGACTCACGCGCAGGTAAGAATCCTTAAGGACGCTTTAAGAGAATTCCCTTTGTCTGAACTTCCCTTTTCTCACCCCTCCCGATCAGACTCACTCAGATGCATTGACAACGATTCAGTTAGCGTCCAGAATCCATCGAATGAGAAGACGAAAGCATCGATTTCAGCTGTCAGGTGCCGACAAAGGCATTGCTCTAGGTTCCAATGCAGCAGGACATCAGTCTGGCGGATCGTCAGAGGGTCCGGACCCTTCTAGTTCTGACCTATCCGCCGACACAGTGATCTACATGGGTCCCTGTGATGACCAAACGGACGGAGAACACCCACCAGTTTACCTTCCCAGTCTTAGCTCAGGAGACAACAGGTGCGCCATGCAGAAGGTCCTGAAAGGCACAACTGCTGAGAAGCCCAACAAATCTCCGGCCAAGAAAGTCATTCCCAAGCCAGAGTATCAAGCGACTGCACCTATTGTCCAGAGCACTCTAGCTGTTGCCCAGAGAACCGATAGTCTGAAGAGAGTCTACGATCCGGGTTATCAGAACACAACGATGAGTCCGGTTAAGCAGAAGATCCCAACGAGTCCTTACAAGTATCCAATGAGTCTCAACAAGGCATCGAACGTTCCCACACCCAAGGGTTCTCCTCTGCGGCGACCCAACATGGTGAATTCTCCCCACGAAAGTCCTATTAGGAAGGTGACTGAGGAGAAGTGGATCGACGGACCGAGAGTGTCGAGGTCCAAAGTGGCCGAAGCTAGGCACTTGATGCGTGAAATAAACCACGTGAAACAGTGCGAAACGTGGGTCGACGGTCCCAAAACTGCCACGCAGAGTGCGTCAAAGACGCTAGTTGCGGGGTGTCTTCCTGGTGCGCTCAATCCTAACGGCGCCTATGGATTCATGGACAGCCACAAGAAGTCCATGATCAGGCAATGGGTGGAGAACCAAACGTCTCAAATGCTCAACAGCGGCCATCAGTGCGTATCTTCGCCATCGTCTCCTCACCATCAGAGGGCAACATATCACATGACCCAGTTTAAGTGCAGCCGATCGGAAGACGACCAGCGATCAGCTCACGAAAGTGGTGCCAAAAGAGAGGAGGAGAATCACTCAGAACACACCGCGAACACTTGTCCTCAGCCCACGACTGCCAATGAGAACCAGGAGGAGGAGGATCAGGACAGCGGTCCGTCAGAGGTTCCTCCAGCTCTGCCCTTGATCGACAGACTGGGCTCCAGGGAGATTTCGCACGAGAGCCTGCACCTGGGATCGTCGTGCTCGCGGCACATCTCGAGGGAGAATCTGCCAGGAGTGCAGATGATGGACTGTGGACTACAGGTCACCGAGGAGGAGATCGCAAAGACCATGGGCAGCGGCATTGGCACGGATCATCCTCTGAGCGCTCTCAGTCATGGCGACATGTCTATCGTGTCCAGTTTTCACGTTGGAGATACTTTCAGCGATTGTGTCATTGGTGATAACTCTAGGTAAGACCTCTGCAGACGATGAGGATTTTGGGTCTGGGAATTACCGATCTGTGGATCTTCTCGTTTCAGGCACCAGTTTGATCAACTGGCCCGTCTTCGGGAGATCTTCACGTCTCAATTGGCCATGGCCGAGGTCACTCCAGTGTTCAGGGTGGGCGGAGATGCGGGAAGTGTCTACAGCGAACCTGCTTATCGCTTCAACGGCGGCACCGGGAGTGTTTGCAGCGAACCCGTGTGTAGAGCTCCTTCTCCGCGCTGCCGCGACTGCCGTCAATCTATCACTCTCTCGCGATCTCCTAGTCAAACCTCTCTGCCCAGTTTGAACGGCATTGTGGCAATAGCGGGAATGGAGCAGTACGCTTCGCTGCGACATCCGGATGGAGCGTCAGATCCGAACTTGCAGAAGATCGCTCAGCTAGATCAGGAGGATAGCAAACCGGCGTCCTCGCCTGTCCCAGAAGAAGACTGTGGCAAGATGCTAGCTGACACTCCCTTGCTTTCTCAAACACAGCTTCCTCAGCTTCCGCCACTGCCACTATCCACTTCCGAGGCGTACGATAGTGGCCACGATTCGACACCGAGAACGTCCAAGCACTCGGGAATATCAAGGCGCGCCGAGAGCGGCTATCACAGCGTCGCCACTGTGCGCGACTCTGACGAGTCAAGCTTCAGTTCGGCGGCGGGATCGAAGGTGCAGCCGCGTGAGCCGCAGAAGATCCACGCGAAGAAGTCCAAGCGCAACGACAAGTCCTTGTGTCACTGGCTCAGGAGTCCCTTCAACTGCACCTATCCCGACACCGAGGGCGAGGTCAGTGACTTCTGAGCGCGACCTGATGGACTCTCAATTTGCACAATAGTGAGATAATTTAGCGTGAAATAAAATGAATGGTGACAATGCACAGGCAGTAAATCAATGAGCCAATAATTTGCCGCATTTTGCCAATTTAATCGTGAAATGTTTTGCGTTACCATATGCACATTTTAACTGAAAAAAAGAAATTGTTGTTGTGACATTAAATTTTACGAGAATTTAATTCGTTATTGTTAGTGCACGCGAGAAATTTGTTAATTTTGACGTAAAATATCCCTAAAATTACATGGCACACATTTTTCATCACCCATCTCTCCTTCGGACTCTCAATATTCATGAAATATTTGCTCCTATTTTAACCCCCCCTCCCCACCCCCAAATAATTTCCGAGAGATGGAACAATATGGAGAATTTGGCAAATATTTTTTTAAACAATCGCATTGTGAATTCCTGGCTGCGCACCGCTTAATTATTGAATGCCGATCGCCTCATTCCTCTTGCCCTCTGCGTATGATTTCATAAAAACAATTCAACTATAGTGAATTTATTGAGGACAGACAAAAAAGCCCAAATGAAAATTAGTAGATGAAAATAATGTCCCTAGTGGAATAATGATTGCATTTTTGCATAATTAGAGAGGAAAGTTTGCAACTAATATATCTCTATTTGGTATGATATTTAAACAATGAGGTAAAATGATGAATTTATAAAAGTGGCATATAAATTATACAATCATTATATACACCTTTAATTGTATTTGCTGTATAACTTTACAAGAAACCAAGAAAGGAATCGACAATGGGAAGAAATAAAAAAAATTTTATAAAAGATTCCTCATACTTTTTTCTTCTATTCTACAACTTTCAGTCTTTTGATAGGGTTCCCTTTGGAATTTTGTGAAAGGAAGGGACAAGCAGTAAAAATGCTTCACATCGCAGATGGTAAGTACTTTTTTATAGTACAGTGCGAGAAAGTCTTCTTTGCCAACACAAATACCTCTTCATTTACCAACTGAACAACCCCTCGAGCAGCAGCTTTGGCGAATTGGATCGATTACATCCCTGCAATGGGGGTTGTTTTCAAATGCAAATGGTAAAGCGAGGTTGAATGTCAATTTTCATTTCTGCGACATTTCAAATTCAGTGATAATTTTCTCCTTGAGAGACAAGAACTTGGTTTTGTGCTCACATTTTGAATTGTTTTCCACCGAATGCCATGCAAATCGAGGGTAATATTTTGTGAAATATATTTGACCATTAATTCCCAGAGTTTTGTTTGTGGATTTTGCCCACACTTCAGTGTTGGAAGCCTTCAAATTGAATGTGTACGAGTTAAAAGGAAAAAGAAACTTTCTTTTTCACACCCTGAAGGGAAGTTCAAAAAGTTTCACTGGAACGAAAGCGAAAGAGAGGAAAAAAAAGCTCATGAGAAAGAGTTAAACTTCTTCCACCCGTTCATACCTTCTCTCGTCCAATTGTGAGGAAATTTATGATTGCACTATTTTCCTTTAGTGCCATGAGTGAAAATATGAGCAACAAATTAATTTGTTTGCCATATATACATATTATGAGATAAGGGAGAGGGGATGGGGAGATAAATTTTAATTAACTTTCCTCCATAAGAAACCTGGGAGCTGCATTAATATAATAAATTGCATAAAACTTGCTCATATTTTCGCCCTGCTACACTATATTGAGGCTATTTCTCATGCCTTTTTTCCTCTGAGCCGCACACGTCACAAATCCTCTGTGCAGGATATTTATTTGCCGTGAGTGAGAAAGAGAGGAAAGTGCCACAATTATTGGCATGTTTTATAAACAGTCACTCCTAATTGTATCCATATCGATGAACCAATCATCCGCATAATATCATGCATATTTTCCATTTCCCATACTTAGTCATAATTCCCATGTAATATAAACTCGGAAGCCGGAATTTCCCTGGGAAATCGATAGCTCACAGCCGGCATATGGCGGTTTCTGCAACAATAACTCGTGCAAACAATAAAAAGAGGACATTGGGGATGAAAATAAAAGTCAGAATGGATTTTTCATGTTGCAGTTATCGTGTCATACGGTTCATCAGACACTACATGAATCCATGGAGCTGGTAATTTTATCTGCCAAGCCCCCATAAATTATTTCTCATCCGGAAAATTCTCGGCTGAATGCAAATGCCACGCTCCGACTAAAGGGCAACTGTCGGAGAAAAATACCAGGTGGAGCTCATCTCTGGCGAAGGAACATGATTACTGTTATCACTGTCGCGTCCAATCCCCAATTTCCACGGAAAAACAAGTGACTGAAACATGAGTTCGAGAGTGTAATTAATTTGGTCAATTAATTACGATCCTCTCTTGGGGTGAAATGAGGAGAGTTTGGTGGAAAAAAGCGACAAGACAACACTCGTGAAATAAATTAATTGGCACTGTTCTCAAATGAGATAATGATCAAACAGAAACTTTCCCTGACATCAATTAACTGCTCAAGTCATTCAACTTTTTACTCTGCTAATGACTTATTGACCGTCTTGAGGTTTACTAAGCGCTTTTCCCAGTCTCGAAGAGGTGCCTAACATTTTAGAAAAATGTCAATTAGTTCTTCCTATTAGTAACTTTGTAAGCTCCCTTCTGTCTCGCCCAGAGTCTATTGTGACTGCAAATAGCAGTGTAAACTTTGTGATCTGCAATAAATATTCAAATTCTCACACGATTACCCAGAGATTATGGTAAAGCGCAGTGAAATATTCTTGTTTTGCAAAGAAATGGAAGATTTCCATGGCCAAAGTTCACAGAGTTTCCTCCTTGACAGTCTGAAACAATAAATTGAGAGTCGCTTAAGATCTCGTGAAGACGATTGTGCTGAAGGAGAAGCTTCTGAATCAATGGTCTCTTCATTGTCTCTTCCATTTCCTGCACCATTGAGGTCGCCATTCCGGCATTAAGAAAGCGGAGTGTCTCAGAAAGTCTCGAAGTGGAAAGATGCCAGCAAATATTCCCTCTGATGCATGCGAAGAAATTACTTTGGAGCACTGCCGGTGAAATACAATAGCGGGTGCAAGAAGGGGCGTTTTTATGGGGATTCACTTTACCATAAATTTATTATTGGAAAAAAATTTATGGATCGTTAAATGTGTGGTGTCTAACACTGAAAAGGTTTATGTCACATCCATCGCAACCCACAGATGTGGGTGGATTTCAAATGCCAAACTTGCTGATCACAAAACATTCTGGCAAAATCAAATTTATCGATGGCGCTGGTGCAAAAAATTTAAATAAATTTATTAGTTTTTCCCCTTTTTCATCGGAAAGCGATTTCTTGTCTTATTCTCTCGTTGTCGAGTGCCATTCTCTTGACGGCTCGCATGTGGGAAGAAAAACCCTGTAGAAAAACCCCGAAGGAAAGCCAAACAGCAACTGGAGAACGTCAAAAATGTTTCTGGGAGGAGTTAAAATAAATTTATTTTTTTCTTCTCCCACTTTGTGCAAAATAGTCGACAATTCCAAATCTCTGCGCTCCCGCAGCAATAAAGGGGAGGAAGGATATATTCCTGGAAAATCGAGAATCCCCCCGCATGAATGTGGGAGGGGAGAAAACCCCGAAAAATAGCTATTACATTTCCCAAGAACTCACTTCCCATTTCCACCCCGCGTTAAGTATGCAACGAACGTATTGTAACTTATGTATTTCAGGGAGGTAACGGCGATATAGATTGAATAAAAAATAGATTAGGAGCATTCTCCGAATGCTCTCGAGCTGCAAAATGGGTGAAAGGCAGCCCCAAAATGGGGTGGACAATTGCTAAATTTACTGTAAAAATATTTGAATCGAGGTCTGCATTATAAGACATTTTCCTTACAATTTTCATGAGATTTTAATGCCAACGACACCAATTTGGGGTCCACCCTTCGCACAATCGGAATCAATCTCATCCCTCAAGTGCCTCATTCAACCCAGTGTGTCTTCTCCTTTTATTTCCCTCGCCCATAACAGCCACTTTGGCTGTGCTTCTTCGGGGGAGTCTCTTTAAAGCGCAGGCAGGAGGGATTTTCTGTATCAATTTCCGCATTTCCCCACATGTATTAATGCCTCAAATGCACTTCGTTTCTCACAATAAATACAAATATACACAACTGCTGAAGTGTTGAATCGTGTACATTTTCATGGAGCACTTCATGGGGACGATTGCGACGAGATTAGGAATGAACTTTCGTTGAAACTTTACATGAGGATGAAATTTGCAAAAGCACAAGAAGCATCTTTCGTCACTCGATGACTTGCAATTCATGTGATAATTTCGCGCATAGTAACAGAAAATTGGAAATTTTCAGTGAAATCATTTCCTCGGGAAATCCCACCTTTCAAACGCTATAAAATGCTGATTCCTGCAATTGAATAAGAAAGGAAGGTGTTCCGACAGTCGATGAGAGAGTGTGAAATGTTGACACAACTAAAAGTGCCACCGCAAACTCAATGCTGGAATATTCAGTGTGTACAGAGAAATTTCACCACGTCAATATAAAATGTCTCTGCGGATGGAAAAAAAATCCCATGAAAGTGTAATTAAATTAAATTGGTATGCGCGCAGTAACTGGTTATCAGCAATAATCGAGCTCAAAATATGAGGATTAATTAAATGTTATGAACTTCGACGTGCAGCAAAAAGTTTACCGGAATTGGTTGGTTTTTTTTCTGGGGAGGAGAGATTGAGTGCTAAATATAGGGGTTGCTTTGGAAAAATAGCCACGTTTTTATTTCCTCCGCAACTTCCACGGGGGAATAATTGACCAGACGCACATTCCTATTGCTGGTACTGTGGAGTATAATTTTTAACGAATTCTCCCACTCAGGACGAATATTAAAATTTCGGGACGTTGAGGGACACCAAATAATTACCCTTGGGAACTTATGAATTTTCAGCATACTTCCCGGAGACTTTCTTCATTTTCCATGGGAGGGTTCGGTTGATTTGGGAAGAGCCACACAATTTTCAATTGAAATGGAAAATGCCTGAGGGTTGAGCGAATGGCAATAAATTCACGTCGATTCTCAGTAGGAGAAAAAAATTCCAACATTTCAGACGCAGTTAGAATACAATTTCCAAGGGCTCGAAAGGCTGATTGAACAAAAGAAGCAGGGAAATTCGAGGAGGATGTATATTGGAATGTCCTCTGCGGTATTATTTGCCATTCCCATTCTCCCAACGTCACTGGGATGTTTTTCTTGCGATCCTGTGCACAGGAGCATAAAGGAAGAGTATTAATTCACTGTCAAAGGGAACAATATCCATCTATCGTATCGAACAGTAATTTCCATTTGAGCATAAATTGGAAAATGTGGAATGAAGGTAAGTCGAGGAGGTGTGAGGCGTTTGGAAGATGTGCCAGCTTCGGCAATATTTACATGATTCATGAAGAAAATAGAGCTTAAAAGCAGCCCGTTTGGATCACAGTGAGGCTTGCGAACAATGAGTTCACTTTTCCAAAAAATAGGGGCACAATCACGGGATATTTGTTGATATATTCACTATCAGATTTTCATGGAAAGTTTGCCACAGCAGACAGCGAGTTTGGTGGACAAAATATGAAAAAAAGCCATTCATCACTCTGTGAAATGTAAAATAACTCGAAATATGCGGGCTTTCGGGAGATAGACGAGCTCTTTCATGGGCGAATATGCCAAAGAGCGCCCACAGAAGAGCTGAGTAAATAAACGGCAAGTTGGACTATGAGCTAGACATGAGGGACACGAGAGGTCCAATTTTCCGGAGAGTCTCTCAATCAATGATCACGAGACTGATTGCACTTGCACACAGTCCAATAAACTGCTAA